GAGATGCACCGCATGGGCTTCGCTAGCACCCACATCGGCTTGGCAGCGGTACCGGCGTCCATGGCACAGTCGGTGACGTCGTGGTGGGCGGGGTGGATAGCTGGCGAGGTGAAGCACAGGGAGAAGGTGCTGTTAGGACTGGGTTGGAATAACATGTGGTTTGGACCTGAGAGAATGCGCTCGAAGCTTCAGTTTGGACTTGAATGAGCTTGGACGGACACGAGTGAACAGGAAGTGCTTGGACGGTGCACCGCAACAGGAACTCCCTTCGCTTATGCGACACTGCTTTTACTGATTGCGCTGGGGTTTGGGATGCTTCCTCCAGCTGGAATCATGGTGCTGACGCTGGCGCTGAGTAGTGCAGCAAATGGGATGTTGGATGCGCCCTCCATCTCGATGATGGCAGATCTGGCGGCTGGGACGTCCATATTTCTTCCATGTAATCTACCAGCAACATGTCCACACTAGGTGTGCAGGAAAAGAGATAGAGCAACATTGTTGATCCAAACTAGCATTCTGGTGGCTTTGCAGCCTTTTCAGCCGTTGTTCGTTCCCGCAAAAACAAAGCCTGCACAGTGGTCCAGCATCACCCCACATCAATCATCAACCCCCTCCTTAGGCCCGAGCCCGAAACTTGGGTTACGGTCAAGCGGTAACCGCCTCAGAGATGGCTGTGGCTCTGGGACTCGCGCTGGGGCCCTCCGTAGCCACTGCTGCCCGGACGCATCAAAGAACGTTCGGTGGTTTCTTGTTCGGCTTAGGGGTTGTAGGAGGGAGAGGTCTAAATATTATGGCAACAGGCAGGCACGCCAAAAAACATGAGTGTTGATTTTTGGGTCTTCGTGATGTTGAATTCATAGATGAAAGAGGAACAGTTTGTCTCGAATGACCATGTAGGTGGATGGAAGGAAGGCTGGCTGGATGGATGAGAGCACATATCCTAGGGGCGCCTTTCTTTTTTGTCTTTTCAGGGCCTGACAACAGTGGCGAGATTGAGAGATGGAGAGCACTAGCGTTCGTCTCCTCCGTTCTCAGGTTGTGAGAATATATTGTTTAAGAGACCTGTATTTTAACAGACCTGTATTCTTGGTGGTGGTGTGGAAGCGTTAAGAAACAGAGGGGGTACGAACATGGCTTTCCACCCCAAGGAAACTCTTTCTCATCCATGGCTCAGGTGGTGATGCACCGTGGAAGTTATGGTTGCCTTTCTTTGCTCTCAGCTTCTGTGGCCCTGCTGGTAGGCTTGGCGGCAACCGCCAACCTGCGCCACGTGCCACGATTGGAAGAGCCGACTTAAGACCAAAATGTGGAAGGAACTCTTCTATGTTGAGCAGTTCCTGACTTCAACTCTCAGTGCTTGAAAGGGATTATATTATAATATATTATATATATAGTTGCCAAGCGTTGTGATCATTCTGTGACAAGACATACTACACGATGACCTTGGTTTCCGTTCCATGGACTCAAGTAGAGCTGAGGACCTTGGACCTTGGTCTCCTGTCTCCAACTCAACGGTTTTATCAACGGATCAACGGATCAACGGTATGTTCTTTGAGGATGTGATAGAGACATAAAGGGGTTGAACATGTTTGAACCTTGTTGCCACCTCCAGCTTCTATTTATATAATTTAAACAAGCGATCCCTGGCCTAGCTTCGATACATCAAGACAGCTGAGAAGAACAACTCGGTATACAGAACTAAACGAGTTGAAACTTTCACTCATTAAAACCCCGAGAGAAACGATAGGACTTGTTCACAATTGTTTTTCATCAGCACATATGCAGTTATTTGCATGAGCAAACCGGATTTGGACATCGGTTGCGTGGAGAATATCCAGGCTCGCAGGTATGGTGAGTTGGAAGCATTCCAAGGGTTGACACACAACCGAGAGTTCGAACACAGCGTATCCGGCATGTGTGAAGATGCCATGTCCTTTATCCTATGCGTCGAAACGAGTGGCCCATGTGTCTCTATGCGTCGGTGGCCCACGCAATCCTCTGTATCCATGCAACAGACATGGAATCTTATGGATCATTTGGAATCGTGCCGGGAACGCAAGATTCAAGGGTGGTCAATTGTCAAACTTGTCGGATGGAACAAAGAAATGGATTCCTACACGGTCATTGACCATTGACACGACATGAAGAAAAAGGACATGGACTTTGACTCGTTGACCTTTTTTTGCGGGAAGAAACAACCGTGACTGGACTTGCGGGACCAGTCGTATCACTTCCATTCTCAAAGTTGGTTCTCTTTGGCTTCGTTGCGCCATGCCTTGGCGGCCTTGACGGCACCGATGTTGGGATGCTCAGTTGACACGATATCGTTTTGAGATGTTTTGCAATGTGGGCACGGGGGAGTTCTGAAGCATTCTGAAGCTGCATGCATCATGCGAGAAAGCCGTCCAGGTCGGGCAAGTTGAAAGGCATCTATGATGCCCTCGATCATGGACAATATAAGAATGCCAGCGGCCTCAGCCTACTGTTGACATTTGTTGACATTTGAATCAACTCATGGACTTCATTTTTGTTGCCTGGATTCTTGAAAGGATTTGAAGTCTCACCCGCGGTTGCTTTTGCCACCAGCCCTCAAGTTGCCCTGCCACCAGCTGCAGCATTCCTTAACACTCGCTCGTTTCCAGCCATGCGTGAGCTCGTGCACGTCCAGGGAGGCAGGTATTTGAGGGGATACTTCGTTTCTTGTTGATGATGCACCAATCGTGCTGGTGCAGGTTCGGTTGGTTGTGTTTTTGCTTTGTGCGGTCGTTTGTGGGGTGTTGTGTTGTTGTGGCAGATGGGATGGTTGCTGACGGTTGTGCTGGTTGGTGGTTTGTGAGTGAAGTGGTCGCTTTTGTCATGCGTGCTTGGACATTGCAACTAACTTGGATTCAAGCTGTTGTAATAAGTACCGCACAGGCTTACTTGTTGATCTGAGAAGAACCACCAGGTTCAGCGCCATTCTATTCTGTATCGATCGTCAGGCCAGTGCGGCAACCAGATCGGTGCTAAGTTCTGGGAGGTCATTGCTGATGAGCACGGCATCGATCCAACAGGAAACTTGGCGAGTAGAAGGAACCACATTGGACACAAAAGAGTCAGGTTCATTCCCCGCCATCGGTTTCAAGTGACAGGTTGACATAGGTTGACAATCGATCTAAAAGGGGAGGTGGAACGCATGAGGAGTGACAGCATAGAGGTTGACCATCTCCGGGCCGACTCAGGAACTTACCATGGAGACTCCGACCTGCAGCTTGATCCTTGGATTATTTGGCAGCAGTGCCCCGTGCATGTGACGTGACCATTCAAGCATCCTGGAAAACATCCGAATCCCATTTACTGTATATATATATATTATACGTATGTGCTCATTTTCCCTACGCTATGTGGAGGACAAGTCGGACACGTGAGTACCTATGTAGGTTAAAAATCTAACTTGCCGGGGTTCTTCTGGCCTCAGTCGACAAAGGAAAGGATCAACGTTTACTTCAACGAAGCCACGGGCGGACGCTACGTGCCGCGGGCAGTTCTGATGGACCTTGAGCCTGGAATCTTTGCAGCAAAATCTATGTTTATGGACATTTTTGTATACACATAAGTATTTTATATAAAAAACAATATTATATATATATATATATATCATTTATGTGTGACACATGTTGATTTCGTTAGAGTCTCTTCGGTGGCGGTGGTCATCTCTGGTTTGGGGATGCAAGGTCAGGAACTTGGTGTAAAACATGTGAGGGATTGGTTTCGGCATGTTTTGATGAGTCGTTGAACAATATTGCAAACTCTGTGAGAGAAATAGGAGGAATATGAAGGCAGAGCTTTAGCACCCAGCGTGTCATTGAGTGGACCTTCACGGAGGAGGCCAGAACAGAAAAGGAATCCCAGCTTGCCACAAACCGGGGGGTAGGAAGCTACTAGTAACAAGTGCCTTACTAGTAGTAACAAGAAGCTATTAATTAGAATACAGCACCTTCAGGAAGCCCACAGAAGGGAACACGTGAGCCAGACGGCCAAAAAGGGTCCGCCATGAAGGGTCGGCCAAAAAGGCACCAGCGTGAGTTCCGGTGATTTTCAAACAACGGCCCAGCTGAACGACTGCTAAGTCCACGGATACTTTTTGATTTGTTCAATTTCTTTCCCCAAAACATTTTTCTGGGGTTCTCTCTGAGCTTCTCAGCCTTGACGGCTTGGCCACGCTGTGTCCAGGGCTTGTCCAAACCTTGTCCGGTCTGTGTGTCCTTGGCTGCTCCGGGCCGGGCAAATCTTTCTTCTCCGCCTTGTGAAGGCTTTGTTTTTCTCCACCGCCTTGTCTGGGTATGGTTTCATGTGGCTATGAATACAACGTGATGTAGCGTTTCAAATTTGATATCATCCTTGGATTTTCTCGTGACATATATATATATATATATCCCTTAGTTTTTGCACATGTGACCCGGGAATCAGGTTTCAAGCATATGTTGTTTACATGCCCAGAAGAATCCAAAAGATGACGCTGACACTGTTTGGGGTCTATGCTTGCATTGTTTTTTATCAGTCTGTAAAATGAGACCTGTAATTTGTTGGCTTCAATCTTCACGATCAATCTGTATAGACATGATGGTTTCTATTTTTCCGGTTTTATGATTGTATGGAAAGATGTCAGAACACCATCGGAGGTTTCGGTTCATTGGGTTTAAGCTTTCGTGTCCGCCCAGGAACCATGGACAGCGTTCGTGCTGGGCCATTCGGACAACTTTTTCGTCCAGACAACTTTGTCTTCGGCCAGACGGGCGCGGGCAACAACTGGGTGGCTTGAATGTGTTGCCGCTGTGGAATCCTTTCGATTTTTGATTGGCATGCTGGGACTTGCCAGGAAACATTCAAACTGGAAAACTTCGCACAACAGTAAAGACAACCGACCAGAACCCCCTAGAAAATGTTGAATCGCGTGACTCTCTGTCTCGTCAAACGAGAAGCCGCCTGCCAATGGAGAGTCGATCTTTGTGAGAGTTGAGGCAAAGGGACACTATACGGAGGGAGCCGAACTGATTGATTCAGTTTTGGACGTGGTGCGAAAGGAAGCAGAAGGTGGCAGCCTAAGTTATGTGGAATTTGTAGCGATCAAAGCATGGTAATGATGCTTTAAAGATCTTTTGTCTGAAGTTGTTAAGCTGTTAGCCGCTAACATCGGCAAACATTCACGAGGCGTAGCCTCTAAAGATGCAACCTTCCCTTAAAGAGATCGAAAGAAAACACCAGTGATTTCAAGCAGTAGTGCGTCACGACCTTGTCCTTGTGGTCATCCTTCCTCTTGACCACAACGCGCAACTGACTTTGTTCTGACTGACCAACCTTCCTGTTCAGGCTGCGATTGCTTGCAGGGCTTCCAGCTTTGCCACTCGCTGGGTGGTGGAACTGGCGCAGGCATGGGAACGCTATTGATCTCCAAGGTCCGAGAGGAGTACCCAGATCGTGCCTTGCCCGATTTGTTGAATCAAACTCAACAAGGGACCTAAAGGGACCACTGTGGGATGCCTTGAGGCAAAAAACAGGCCTTGCCTTGCCATGCCTAAAGCTATACTACTACAAATGACATCAAATTACGCAAAACTAATTGTTAATTGTTATTTATTGATCGTTCTTCCTCAGCTTGTTCGGGCAATGGGGGAGGAGGGTAGCAAATGCATACAGACAGCTCTGTGATGTGCTGCACTGTGTAACAGGGCCAGCAAAGAGATACGCACAAAGAGAATCAACGAGACGTGCCTACTTACCCTGCAAGTCTCAATTACCGCTGCAAAACATGTTGGACAGAGAGGGATTGCCCAAGAATCCACCACCGCCACTTTGTGAGTAAAGCCTAGTTCGCTGCGTTAAGGCATTATGGAGACCTTCTCCGTGATCCCATCACCAAAGGTGTCAGACACGGTCGTGGAGCCTTACAATGCGTCTTGGAATCCTGATTTTTTGAGTACAGTACGGGCTTTCCCTTTCAAAACACAGACGGTTACATTCCTTAGCCACCCTTAGTCTTGAATTTAGTGTCTTGTTAAACTCTTTACATTTTTGCATTAATCTTGCAACCACAGGCAGTCCTCAGCTTCCATCAGCTGGTGGAGAACTCAGATGAGTCCTTCCTGCTGGACAACGAGGCATTGTACGACATATGCTTCCGCACGTTGAAGCTGACCACACCAACCTATGGTGACCTGAACCACTTGGTGTCTGCAGCCATGAGCGGTGTGACTTGCTGCTTGCGCTTCCCCAGACAGCTGAACTGCGACTTGCGCAAGATCGCGGTGAACCTGGTGCCCTTCCCTCGTTTGCACTTCTTCATGACTGGCTTTGCACCTCTGACTTCTCGCGGCTCCCAGCAGTATCGTGCTCTCACGGTACCTGAGCTGACGCAGCAGATGTTTGATGCCAAGAACATGATGTGCGCAGCAGACCCTCGTCACGGCCGATACTTGACAGCCGCGGCCCTCTTCCGTGGCCGTATGTCAACTAAAGAGGCGAATTCCCAAAAGTTGTAGTTGAAAGTTGTTTGAGAGAGTTCTCACCTGCTCAGTCAGCAAACTAGCCAACGAGGAACATCGATGAGCAGAGAATACATATAGTTTTTTTAACACATATCCCAGCTGTGATTTTGGAGCAAGCCGTCGTTCGCTCCTGACCTCCGCGTGGTGCCCACGTCACGGGCCCGCTCAGAGCGGGGGGCAACGCGCCAACAGCACAGGGTGAATTCTTGGCATTCGCATTGGCGAGGGCCACCCCGGCCCTGCCGGCTCCCGGAGAACACGACGACAGCGACACCAACACCATTCACGGCAGCAGGCCAAAGGCACTACACAAGCACCGGGCGAAGTTGACGGCAAAGCCCTCTTGCATAGCCAGCAAAAAAAAAATCTATATAGCAACAGTAACATAGCTAAGCCTTTTAGAGCTAGTTGAGGGCTTTATAAATACTTATAGACTTTCTAATGATACTTAATAACTTTGTAAGTATTTTGAACGAGTTTTGAAAGTTGAGCTTAGAGAACTTATAAGTAACTTAGGGAAGTAACTTTTTGTTTGTTCAAAACAATTTGTTTGTTTAAATGTTGTTTCCAGATGTTTTTTGCAGGCCAATGGTTCTCTTGACAGCAAGAGCTGTGACCAGAATTTCCAAGAAAAGAGATGTTTCAGAAAGACCGCAGGCAGATGTTGTCACCGATGGCGGCTCTTTGAGTTTATGGGTTGAACAATTTGGTTCATGGGTTTGTACGGGCCGGAGACGAGTTTCAACATGGGGACGTGGATGACGTTGACTTGAAGGAGAAGCCAAAGAGCAAGACCAAGGTTGACGAGCTCCAGTGCAACAAGCCCAAAAAGAGCAAGAAGGGAAAGAAGAACAAGTAGTGGGTGCGTTTTCCAAAGGTTTTTGAACACAGCAGGAGCTCAGGTGAAAGAAAATGAGTGATAGTTTTTGGTGACAATATGACATGTAGCTCAATGTAGCAAAATGTATAGGAATGTATGACTCTGAAATGTGCAGAGTCATTACATGTATAACTCTGAAAAATTTGGAGCTATACACGTATAACTCTGATTTTTTTTCGGAGTTATACATGTATAAGTCTGATTGTTTTGGAGTTATACATGTAGAACTCTGATATTTTTCGGAGTTATACACTCTTATACATTACGCTACATTGAGCTACATTCACAAATTCCTGATTGTGGGTTGGCAATGTTTCACTTTCTTGGCCAACAAATGTTGACCAGCTACAGGATTGCCATAGTTTGTGCGTGTATGAGTTTAACAAAACCTAAAAGGAAAAGCATTCTCCTGGGATGCGGCCCATTGGGCCGCACAGGATTCAATATGGCATTCAGTCTTGCTTAATGGGCCGCTTGAATTTGTTAAATATCGCAGAACCACTTTCACACCCTGTGAGCTTTAGAGCTTTTATGGCAGCTCCCACCATCGAGATCCACAAAGAAGCACCAAGCCCTTGTTTGACAAGATGTTTTACACGCAAATGAATCATTATTTTGTATACTTATCAGAAAAATTGAAAAATGTAGTGTCTGGAAAAGTTTCGAGAACTTTTAGAAGTTATATAAGTTTCATAAAGTAAACTTAGCTAAGTTATGAACTAAGTTAAAAACTACTGGCTTTGTAACTTCTGTAACTTATTTTCTAAGTCTCTATATGTTCTTTTTTAAAATACCATAATTTACTTATAAGTTCCATACTGACATCTAATGATGGTGTTTTATGTTGTTTTTCATGTCGCCAATACTTTTGCTCTTGCAATTTTTCACAAATGGCTCCAGCCGCCAATTCATCAACATCGTTTTCTTTGGGGGTGCTGATGGGGAGAGGGATCAAACACAACACAAATAGGGATCAATAACAAAACAAATAGGGATCAACTAAAAAACAAACAGACATCAAGAAACAATACTTGGAAGAGACAAGCAAGAAAGAAAGAAAGAAAGAGAAAGAAAGAGAGAGAAAGAAAGACAGCAAGACAGAAAGAAACAAAGAGAAAGAAAGAGAGAGAAAGAAAGAAAGACAGAAAGAAAGACAGAAAGAAATAAAGAAAGACAGATAAATAAAGATAAAGAAAGATAAAGAACGAGAAAGAGAGAGAAAGAGAAAGAAAGATAAAGAAAGAGAAAGAAAGAGAAAGAAAGAGAAAGAAAAAGGAAAGAAAGACAGAAAGAAAGAAAGAACGAAAGAAAGAAAGGAAGAAAGAACGAACCACCACTACTGCCACTACCAATACCACTACTACGACCACCACTTCTACTACCACTACCGCCACCACCGCCACCACCACCACCACGACTACTACTCCTACTCCTACTCCTACTCCTACTGCTACTGCTACTGCTACTACTACTACTACTACTACTCCTACTCCCACTCCTACTCCTCCTACTACTACTACTACGACTACTACTACTACTACGACTACTACGACTACTACGACTTCTACGATCAGTACTACTACTACTACTACTACTACCACCACCACCACTTCTTCCACTACCAGCACCACTACTACTACCACTACTACCACTCTACTACTACTCCCCCTCTACTACTTACTACTGCCAACCTCTACCAGTTTCGGAGCCCCACGCATGTGAGTGACCGAGCTCGCAACTACAGCCCCGTGGAAGCTTCTGCACTATAACTACCATGACCACCACCACCACTACTACTACTCCTGCTGCTGCCCCTGCTACTGCAACAGCTGCTACTACTGCTGCTAGCTGTTCCAAGTGCTGTTTCTACTTCTGCTTCTTCTTATGCTTCTACTCCCGCTGCAGCTGCTCCTGCTCCTGCTACTACTACTAAACTACTACTTCTACTACTACTACTACTACCACCACTACTGCCACTGCTGTTGCTGCTACTACTACTGCTACTACTACTACTACTACTACTACTACTACGACCACCACTACCACCACTACCACCACTACTACGACTACCTACTTACCTACCTACCTCCCTGCCTGCCTACCTGCCTACCTACCTCTTATTTATTTGTTGATCCTTGTTTGTTTTTATGTTGATCCTCTTTTGTGCCTTGTTTTTATTGCAACATCGCAATTCTTTGTTTTGTTGTTGATCCCTGTTTGTTTTTCTTTTGATCTATTGAATTTATTCAAGACGCTTCGCGTCGACAGCCGCCCACACCGCGCACGAACATCCGAAGTTAGGTGCCAGGTTGGCTGTCTTACGGCTGCGTTGGAGCCATCTTGGGGCCAACTTCGTCTACCTTGGGGCCCATAATGGTGATACAACTTCGGCATTGCCAAAACCATCCAAAAATACACCTCCAAAACGCTCTCCCCAGTGGCCCTGCAAGCACGACGTAACGAAAGATCATCCAAAAATGTACCCCCAGTGGCCCTGCAGCTCAACCATAGCCACGCACGCGCGAAAGCCAAAGACGCCAGGTTGGCTGTCTTACGGCTGCGTTGGAGCCATCTTGGGGCCAACTTCGTCTACCTTGGGGCCCATAATGGTGATACAACTTAGGCATTGCCAAAAGCCACCCAAAAATACACCTCCAAAACGCTCTCCCCAGTGGCCTTGCAGCCGAGCAAGAATCAACGCAGCAACCAGCCCAAAACACAAAAACTCCTCCTAAACGCTCTCCCCAGTGGCCCTGCAAGCACGACGTGACGAAAAATAATCCAAAAATGTACCTCCAAAACGCTCTCCCCAGTGGCCCTGCAGCCCAACCATAGCTGTGCACGTGCCGAAAAAGAAGCCCCCCCCTAGCAGAGCTATTTGCATAGGATGTTTTGGCTAAAGTGCAGAGCTCGAGAGCCCCAAAGCACGCCCTGCACCGACAAGCGGTGTGGGCGGATTTTGTTTTTGATCCTTGTTTGTGTTTCTTTTGATCCTCCACCCCTGGGCTGCTCTTAGCGCCTCCCGACATCTCCGTTTTGCGCACGCAGCACTGTGATTTGAAGGCGTTGGAGGTTTCTGGACAAACACATTTTCATTGTCTTATTGGTGCGACCCTCGTGCGTTGGACAACAACACATCGAGGTGTAGCTCTGCGTATGTTTGTTGTGTGGTGGTGGTGTATGTGCGGAGCGTGCAACTCAAAAAACAAAAAATCAACCTGTTGTTTTAGATCGATCATTAAGTAAATGTTTAAGTGAATGCAGCTACTTCCAAGGGGGCACCAACGGACAACCCTATACACCCCTACTCCACTTATACCCGTGCAGGAAGTCCTAGGCAATCACTTGTTTCCAGCGTGGTTTGTTTGCTGATGTTTGCTGGTTTGCCTCGCTTTCGGTCATTTTTGCAGGTGGACGAACAGATGCTCAATGTTCAGAACAAAAATTCTTCCTACTTTGTTGAATGGATTCCGAACAACATCAAGGCCTCCGTTTGCGACATCCCACCAAAAGGGCTCAAGATGGCAGTGGCCTTCGCCGGCAATTCGACCGCTATCCAAGAGATGTTCAAGCGGGTGGCAGAGTACTTCACTGCCATGTTCCGCCGCAAGGCCTTCTTGCATTGGTACACAGGCGAGGGTATGGACGAGATGGAGTTCACTGAGGCGGAGTCAAACATGAATGACTTGGTCTCGGAGTACCAGCAGTACCAGGATGCTACAGCCGAAGAGGAGGGTGAGTTCGATGAGGAAGAGGGCGAATATGACGGATGAACCAGGTCATGTGTTTGAACTTGGCCCATCGCCGTAAAAGCCCATGTCTCGACATGTCTGCACAATATAGACGTGTTCTGGGCGAATTTGATGTCAATTGGTCTTGGTGCTTTCAAGAAAGAATCTTGAGGCAATCCGAGCTGCATGAAAATTGGCAGATGTTTTGGTTTCTTGGCCGTCCCTGTGCCGTCGGATCTTCCTGATCGTAGCTCCAAGTCGCATTGTAGATCAATAATACTTTGTAGCACATTATATATATAAAGCCTAGAACTGAAGGAAGAAGGCAGTTTCTCCAGCTATCTCAAAATCATTGAGCGATTTGTTTGCAATGTTAGCCTTTCCTCAGCTGCTGCCAAGGCTTGCAAACTTTGCACCACCCTCTTGCAGAAACAGCCTGCCAACTCGTATCTCGGAAACAATTACTGTAGATGCACCAACGTGGGCATACTGGGCATCATTGGGCATCCATTGGTTGAGGTGTAGCGCATGTGTCAGAGATGCCTTCTCACAAACAGGGCAAACAAACGAAGTTCTTGTGGAAACATCCAGGTCACAAAGTGTCATCTATCTCTATTATGGGAGAAGGGTTTCCGAAGCTATTAATTAGGTTGGAGGCTATCGCTACTAGGGTGGAGGCCATTGCTACTGTTGATGGACAAAATCCTGCACCACTTTGCGCACAGTTTTCTTGCTGCCCCCGTTCTCCCTCGTTAACATTGCGGCCACCACAGTGAGAACATTAAAACAAGTTGAAGGTCCAAAATCCTGCCAGGGTAAAGTGGTGAGCTGGTACAGGATTTCGTCCATCAACAGTATTGGGAGACGAAAGATTGACATCCATGATTGTCTCAAGCATCCCTTCGGGCCGGTTCGGGTCTCCCCAGGTTGGTCCGCGCACTACATGCCGTTGCATTGGAGCGCTGCGGCCGCCGAGATGAGGTCGATTGTGTCCAAGTGGACAGGTCATGAGGAGATGTTAAAACGTGATCGTTCAAAGTGAAGATCCTTCAAATTTCAGGGAATTCTTTGGTGTTAGTTCAACTTTTTGTCTTAAGGACCTCAGCAACAGGTTTAATTACTTGGGTTTATCAGATCCTGGTGAGCTCCATGTCCTACTATCATGTTGTCTGGGGGCCTCCAGTGGACTTTCTGAGGAAACAGAGGAACGTACGTACTGTACCGATCTGCTGATAGAATAAATGAGAAGGCGACAACCCAGACCCACTTCTGAGAAGGCGACAACCCTGCACTTGAAGCAGAGTTCCTGGCATTAGCCGGTAGGCCATTCCTTGTTTGCTGTTGCCAGGCCATTCGGCTTTGCCAAGATACGGTGACGGCAGGCTTGGCGTTTGGAGTTGTCCTTCATGTTCAGTCCAATTTGACAGCCACTGTGCCCCGCCACCATGTAGAATGATGTAGATGATCTAACATACACGGCTTGCACAGGCATTGCGGCTGAAAAGAACGTGGTGGCCGCAATGGACGATACCTGCGTCAACACTTTGCAGGCGCGATGTGGACCAGCGACAAGGTAGCTCAACAAGTGCAAACACTTCCTTTAGATTAATTAGTTTGCAAACCACGTCTTGACTATTCTCAATGTTTGATCAGTGTTCTTCGTGGCGCTCAAAAAACTGCACTTGCAGAACATAGGCATGTTGAAGTGCAACACAGCGCAACAGCGGACACGCCCAGTAGTCTTGCACAGAGCGTTTGTTGGCATATTGTCCGACTGAGGTTGTGCTGAGGCGCTGCCGGCAATGGGAGCAAATCCTGCAGATGTACGAGGAGGGGGAAGGTGTGTGTGTGTGTGTGTCACACCCTGGTTCTAAGGGTTTTCCACGTTCTCATCTTTCCACTACAACACAGGCCGGTTCCATTTTTCCACTGATGCAGGG